GGCAAGCGCAAGGTCGTGAGTTCGGTTCCTGGTACCGGAGAAAAAAAAAAAAAAAAAAAAAAAAAAAAAAAAAAAATAGGAAGGCAGAAGTTGTCTGAGAAGAAACATATGACCGAACAATTGCCAAAAAGACAAACAGCATTTGCATTACTGAAGAACAGCTACTCTTTCACCCATGTCTAAATCTAACAGATTCTTCAAAACATTCTATGTTTAGCACAGTATGATAATTTTGTACCACATAGTGATTGGTTCAGACTGAAATATATTAACCCTGAAATGGTAATGAATTAATCTTTTAAAGGAAAATGCTTTTTTACTTATGTTTAGGTTTACAATAGGAAAAATGAATGGGTCAGTGTTAATACAGGTGCAATAGATACATAATTTCAAGCCATAAGAGGAGCAAGGGCATCCTGAGGTAGAGAGCACTGGAAGAAAAGCCTCAACTTTTTTTTTTTTTGTTTTTCTCCGGTATCTGGAACCGAATTCATGACCTTGCGATTGCCAGGCAGGCGCTTTGCCGCTGAGCTAAATCCCCAGCCCGGTAAAGCCTCAACTTGATTTGGAAGAAATGAAGGAATGGTTTCTAGTTGTGCCTATTTACATAAGAAAGCCTCTAGTTTATCTTTTTTTTTTTTTAGTTGTTTTTTTTTTTTTTAGTTTATCTTTTTGATCGCTGAGTAATACTCCATTGTATAAAAATACCACATCTTTTTTATCCATTCCTCCATTGATGGGCATTTGGGTTGTTTCCAAGATTTAGTTACTACAAATTGTGCTGCTATAAACATGGATGCACATATATTGCTGTGATCTGATGTTTTTAGTTCTTCTGGGGAAATACCCAGAAGGGGAATAGCTGAGTTAAGTGGGACCTCTAATCTTAGTTTTTAAGGGAATCTCCACACTGATTTCCACAGTGGTTGTGCTAGACTACACACCAACCAACAGTGGAGAAGGGTTCCTTTTTCCACATAGCCCCTTTGGCCTTTGTTATTGGTTGATTTCCTGATGCTAGCCATTCTTTCTGGGGTGAGGTGGAATCTCAGTGTTGTTTTAATTTGCATTTTTTGAATGACTGATGATGTGGAACATTTTTTCATGTATTTATTTGCCATTTGTATTTCTTCATCTGAGAAGTATGATACTCATAAGTGAAATAAATGGGACCGACATGTGTAAACATCGTATTGTGTCCCTGGTGTAAGAACCTAAAAGAGGGCTGGGGATATATCTCAGTGGCACAAGCACCTGCCTGGCAAGCACAAGGTCCTGAGTTCGATCCCAAGTACTGCAAAAAAAAAAAAAAAAAAAAAAAAAAAGAAAAGAACCTAAAAGAGTAATAAAATCAGAGAGGTACAATAGATATTGTGAAAGGGAAAAATAGTGCTCAAAGTGAAAGGATAACTGGGATGAGGGAAAGGAGGTACTAAAGAAAGAAGGGAAAAAATGTATATACACATAAGATAGCTAAGATAATTTTACTACTAATTTCTTTTGGTTGATTGAAAGGAACAGTCAATGCTTAATTTTTTGTCCAGTGTTGCGTGCTTATATCTGTTAATCTGAATACTTGGGACAACAATATGCAATATAACAACCATTGTTGATTCCTATCATGTTTTTTGAAATTTTATATCATTTCTAGTGGGGGTTTTTAATAATTTTTTACTCTTTAAAAAAAGAAATGAAGGAAGGGAGGAGTTCATTTCTGATGATGTTTTCTAATCCATTTGAATACATTTAAGTAATTGTAGATTTTTTGCATTCTCAAATGGTGTATTTGGCAGGTTTAAATCCGCATAAAATATCTTAGCAATTTCCTTTCCAGTGTGTCAGTTAATGCAGTAGGAATCAAACAACACTTTAAAGGTTTGTGTTCAACCTTCTCATCTCAGTGAACTCATCAGTGCTGTGGTGCAGGACAGTCACACCTGGATGCTGAGCTCTGTCTGGAGCCTGCAGAGGGAGAGAAATGAACTTCCTGTCGATGCTTCCTTGGCATGGAGGACGCCTTCCCTGCAGGTGGTGCCTAGCTGGGGAGAACCCCAACAGAAAGAGTGTTTACAGTGAAAATGCAAATTGGTGGGAAAACCACAGACTGCTATGAAAGCCACTGTGGGCTTCTCTGCTTTCTATGATTTTGATCCTATGTTCCTTGGAACTTTCTACACCTTATTTTGGCTTTAGCATGCATAAATTTGCTGGAGTCAGTCCATAACATGTATATGTAAAAATCTGTGAAGTTCATGCTCTGGGACACTTCATTTGCATAGTTTCTGAGACAAAGATATGATGGGATTGGCACTTCACTGAGAAGCTGAACGTGACTCCAGGTAACTGTGACCCTCTCATAAATGGTTGTTTGGAGGAGGATGCACTTTTAAAATGAAAAAAAAAAAAAAAAAAAGAACACCAGACTTTGAAAAGTTCCAGAATTAATATTTTGACTGTCCCAGGCACATCGTCAGGGTCTGATTCATTGTAAGGCTACATTTTATCAATCAGGCCCTGTACACTGAAAGAGGTTTAGCTCTCTCAATGTGGGTTTTCTAGTGACCTTGGGGAAAGCAGTTGGCATTTCGTTTTTTTAGTAGGTTGGTATAATATTTGTTACAATAATACTATGGGTTAATAAAAGCAACGAAGAATTAAAATACAAGATATGTAAAATCCCATCTAAAGAAGCTGGGCATGGTGGTACATGCCTGTAATCCCAGCACTTGGGAGGCTGAGGCAGGAGGATCATTGTGAGTTTGAGACCAACCTGGGCTACAAAGTGAGCTCAAGGCCAGCCTGAACTAGAGAGTGAGACCCTGTCTCAAAAAGACCAAAAAAAAAAATCCCAACTAAAACCCAAAAATGTTTAATGTATTCATCCATTAGCTAAGTAAAAGCCCCCAAAAGGTGAGAAACCCAGTATAATAAAGTACTGCAAAACAACTGGC